GAGGAAGTGACTGATGATTTGGAAAACACTGAAATCGTGGACATTCCTGCAGTAGTGGAAGAGCCAGAATATAAAAATCCAGTAGTTCAAGAGCCGAAAATTGATCGACAAGATGGTATTGTCGAGATCACGAATGAACACATTGCTCAGGAGCATTTAGAGGAAATTCAGGTGGAGCCCGAAGTGGCTAGTTCTGATCAGAAACTGTCCTTAGTTGGGAAAATAACTGATTCAGTTGTCTCTGAAGGAGATGATGTGGCTAAAACTGATAACTCTTTTAAAAACTTACCAGGCATTATGCTATCAAAAGTAACTGTTTCAACAGAGGGAAATTCTCAAGTGGCGAAAGAACTCGACTCTGTGGAAGAGACATTAACAGCGGCGAAAGTAAAGGAAGTGGTAAAGACGGAAAGTATAGCAATTTTGGAATCACAGGACGAACATGCTGAAGAACTCCCATCAGACAAGGTGATTACGTACGAAGCGACTATTGTGGAGACTGAAAAATTGTCGGTTGCTGATAAAACTGTGAGTGATAAAATCGAAGACATCACTAGGCTAGTGGAACATGAGTATGTAACTATGCAGAAAAATGCGCAAAATTTGCTTGAATCAGCGAAAACTATACCCGAAATAATGCTCAGAAGGACAACTGTGGAACCGGACTTAGAAAAAGTAGTTTGTTTGAGTGAAGAATCATCTGATTCTGAGTGCAACTAGCGATAAACCCGTACATGATTTGCCACTTAATTTTACGTACTATTGTAGCTGATTTTTTTACATCAACAAATACATTTGTAAATTTATTAGTCGCTCCATTGGAGTCGAAACAACTAACGATTTCGCTCCAGTTTACCATAGATATTTTTTCTTTAAACGTCTCATAATCTATGTAGACCCCACGATCTGGCAGATTGTTTTTTCCCTAGAAAAATCTCTTTCATAATTTATGTTTAGAAAAATTGGGTAGTGATCAGTCAAATGGCTGTTCAGCCGACATGACGCGAGTTTCAGGCCTTGACTTCTTAGTTTTTGTTTCACAAATAAATGATCTATACATGAGTTAGAATTTTTTGTAACTCGAGTGGGAAAGTTTATATATATGATAAAAACCCGTTCTAACCCATTAAGGATAAGTATTCATTTACTAAATGATTATTTTTATCATTGATGTAATTAACATCTGCTATTATTGTTGTTTTTATCAAAATAACAATCCCATCATTTCTACCATTATCCCCAGCATTATAGTAGGCAACATACCCTGGAAGTTGATAAAGTTCCCCCTGTATTTGAAAACATTCACCCACAATTATCACATTACAACAACTGAGATTATATTGCTCCTACAAAACCAAAAATTGATCAAAATTCCTTTTGATACTTCGTATATTCATGTGCACAATGTTTAGTAAATAGTTAGGGGATAGAGAAAAGGACTGATTAAACAAGGTGTCAGTTAAAAGGGGATCAGCCATTCAAACCCAGACCTTCTAGTATGGTATTTTCTACTAGACTGAAACTAATATAACAAAAATACTATCCATATTTGTGACAGCCGAATATCTGAGTTGCCTAGCACAGAGCAAGATAGGTAGGTCAAAGCCCGGAAAACACCTCTAAATGTGATTCACGTTTAGTCACCCCTTATCTGCTTTCAAAGGTTCGTTCCCTACTAACTCACCCATGACACTCCAGCTGTCGTTGCACTCCAATCTTCCTCATGACGACGGCAAAGAGGGGCGAGTGCTGCTCATTGACTATGTACTTCTTCTCCGGCTCCTCCAAGCCCCTAAACAGCGCCTGCTTGTCCATGTTGTCCGGGTCGGTGATCAGAGGCATGAAGGCGTAAGAGAGGTCCTTGCCGTGCAACATGGAGCCGCCCTCCTGGATGACGAACTTCACTGCCGACCACACTGCTATGGTGGGGAACGAGTTCATCTGCTCCAGGTCCCCAGCGGGGCCTTGATATTGGACGCGCAGCCCTTGGGGCGAGATCTCCAACCGGCCGGAGAGCCCCTGCAAAGGACAATTCCCTCAAACCCGCTGCACCTTTGCGCCTGCTGAACCCAGCTTGCCTTTTTGCTTCTGGCCAGCTTCTTGTAGGCGAAATACAGGTCCTTGAGGGGGCGTTGCAGGCCGGCCAAGCTGGTGACTTTCTCCTGCAATGGAACGCTGCCCAAGTAGTCGATGGAAAACGCATGGACGCCCATCTGCTGAGCCGACACGCCACTGTCGTTGGCCACGTCGCTGAACATTTGCTCGATCTTGGCCTGGACGCTGTTCGATTTGTGCGTGCCGCCACTGGAGTCCGACTCGAACATGCTGTCGATTTTCTGCTTGTAGATGCTGTAGACTGAGCTGGATTCGTCATTCTGGCCCTGGCTGGTGTGGTGGGGATGGAGATGCGCAGCTTCAGAGCAAGGCACATTGATGACGAGCACCTGCCTGGGGGCGGCGGGGACTTACCATGGTCGATCAGGCGGAAGCCTGAGGACTTCTGCGAAACCACGCTTCTGTTGCTCATTTTGCTGCGCACGCTCTCGTTGCGAACGATTTTCTTGTCCACCATGGTCTGGGTGATTCGTCGCTCCTCCAGAACTTTCCTCTCCTCGTGCACCTTGAAGGAGTGAAATGTACCCCAGATAGCATTTGGTATTCTATGAATATCCCAGAATGTTCAAAAAATGTACAGAACATTGGGGGAATATCCTGGGAATATACATGGTTGAACATTCCTAACATGTTCATAAAAAGTATATCCTAGGTATGTACATATATGTACATATTGGGTATATGTGCAGATGAACATGCCAGGTATGTACATATTGTGTATATGTGCAGGTGAATATACCTAGTATGTTCAAAACAAATATTCCGGTAATATACATGAATGTGTATCTACGGTATATTCCAAATTGGTTGAATATAAATTTTGCGTGCCCGCCGCAGAAATGTAAGGGCATGTAAAAGTAAATCTTCTTACTACTAAATCCTGAGACCCTTATGAAGTACTGAAAATATGGTGTTTTGATTAACAAATTAACAAAATTTATCGAAAATAAATTTTGCGTGTTCGCAGCAGAAAAGCAAGGGCACGTACAAGCACAAGAGTTTATATGAACTTTTCTTTTTAAATGCGTCAACGTTCTAATTTTATTGGGCAATATTAATAAAATTTATATATTACTCAAATAAATTTATCCGGACCTAACAGTTCCCACCATATGAAATTCAAACAATTAAAATGCATATAACAAATTCAAATTACCCGCTTAGTGTGTACACGGAGTGACAATGAGAGCGGACCAATGAGAATCATCTTTCACGCAGTGCTGCTTGGCGGTAACGCCAAAGCTCTCAGAATTTCTGAAAAGCTGCGAAGCTTATAATTTATTGGTTATTGGCATAAACAAATTATTATGTGCTATTACACAAATCTTGTTTTATTAAATTACCTATATTATTGTAGATTTATTAGTTACTAGAATAATGTCTTTATAAGCAAGACAAAATTTAGATTTTGTCAATATCGGTTTATCACTGATGTGATATCCGGGGTATGACAATTCAGCACTTTTGTATAAAAAGGTTATTAAAAATCCATACTGATCGATGCGAAAAATAAATATGAGTCAAAATATAAAAACCGTGCTTGTGCCTCAGTGTTATGGTGTGTCTTCAAGACGGAAATTACGGTATAATTATGGCTTAAAACCCCGCAAACATGGAAAGGTATGATGGTGTTTAAATTAAATACATTTGATTATTTTATTATTTCTTGTTCTAAACATACAGGTGATACCGCTGTTGTGGACTTGAAGCATTGAAGACGCTAGGGATCACGTGAGAAAACCACACACGAAAAATGTTCGCATAAGATACCGCAAAAATGTAAAGGTATGTTGGTGTTTAAATTAAATACATTTGATTATTTTATTATTTCGTGTTCTATACATACAGGTGATGTCGCTGCTGTGGCCTTGAAGCATTGAAGATGCCAGGGATCATCAGATCTCCAGATCCAGTGAGAAAACCACACACGAAAAATTTTCGCATAAGAGACAAGTAAGGTTGTCTGAACCGAATTATTCTTCTATTAATGTAAAACTATTATCTGTATTTTTTATTTTTACCAGTTTGATTTTGGTTGATTTCTATTTTGCGATAAGCATGTTTTCTTGGATCGAAGGAGAGCAACAAAAGTAAAATGAAAGTAA